ATGGAATGGAAAACAGAGGAAAGAGCGAGGCCCTCAAAGGAGGTCCTTGGCATTGGAGATTAGAAGATGCACACCACCCCAGGATGGGGAGGGGAAAGTGCCCATGCCTGGGGAATCATTGCACAGAGTCCCTGAAATAAAGGGAGAAAACAAACTTCACACAATGCTCTAGGTAAGACCTAACCAGTGTCAGGCCGGGGTCACCAGGCACATGCAGGCTGCCGGGGAGCAGAGCCGCAGCATGGGGCGGAAGCAAGGAGGGCCCACATGAGCCGCTGGGGCCCTGCCAGCCGGTACCTGCACTCTGCATGAGGTGAAGCAGAAAGAGCAGGCAGCTGCACTGGCTTGCGGTCAGTCCCAGGAGGGAGAGAGAGACAGCTGGATGGAAGGATTACAGCCCAAGACGCACACCGTGAGTGACCAGGGAATGCAGGCAGGGCATGCTCTAATGGGCAGCACGTCAGACTTGAGCAGATGCTCTGGCCCCCACTGCCCCAGCACATTCCTGGGGGTGACAGACTGCTGTGGATACCCACAGGGTCACGCACCATCTCCCCCGTCACCTACCCTGATGGCACCCAGGGCACCCTCGCCGATGACCCGCAGGAGGTAGCGGGGGCTCTTGGGGGATGTGCGGGCAGCGTTCTCTCTCCACACCGACACCCAGGCGTGCAGGAGGTACCTGGTCTCCTTCCTAGGGGTAAAGGTCCACGTCTGAGCCTGCAAGCACACATGGGACAGGGCGCTGGAGCCAGGCCTCTCCACTGCCCAAGCTGGTCGGCCATTCCATGCACAGCTGTAGGGCAGAGCACCCCCTTCCTTGCTGATAGCTCAGAAAATCTGCCCCCCCCACCACCCTGCATGGCTCTGGGCCACATCTGCACTCACTGCCTGCCCCTCCAGCCCAAGCTGGACGAGCAATGGACAGGGGTGGTTTAGGAGCAGCTGTCACACGGGGATGGCACCAGATAACCCAGGGGTCCCGAACAGCCCAACCTTTCTGGGATGCTCTGGTTCATGTTGCCCTGCAGAAGTGCCAAGGACAGAGCACAGTGGCTCCAGGTACGTTAGCCCATGGGACCACTGAGATGCAGCAGGCAGGAGTGGGGGACCCCTGCGGCCACTTCCCACCCACACATCAGGGCCAGTCCTGGTGCCAGCACTCACCAGTGCTTCATTGGGCTGGAGGAAACCAGTGCTGGGTTTGACTGCCAGGACCTTGCCATCAGCTGGCTGGATCCTCCACCCAAAGTAAAGGGGCAGCCGAGAGCAGTTCTTGATGGTGAAGAGGCGTGTGGAGGAGGCGCCCACACAGGTGGGCTTGAAGTACAGCCTCCCGTCACCCTCCAGCAGCAGGCGCGGGGGATCCGTGCTACTCTCTAGGGAGATCTCCTGGGCAAAAAGAGAAGAGGGGGTGTTAGCTGGGCACTGAGGCTGCAGCACCTCCAGGAGCAGATCCAGGGGGTGCGGCTGACCCTCCCTCCCCTCAATTCCTTCTCCCTTGAAGCTTTAACTCCAGCTGCTTGCAGAGGCAGTGGCATTTCTATCCAGGGAGTCAATCAACTTCATGGCTCAATATCATGCCTCTGATTCCTGCTAATCTCTCTCCACTCTACAGGTATGAACGACCCCCTCTCCTTTCTAAGAGTCTTAATGTTCCACTGCTCAAACCATCCTTCCCTCTGCCGTGCTGCCATCTGTCAGCCTGGCCTGGGAACATCACTTCTACTTCCCAGCCCTGCAGACTGCTTTTGGCTTTAACTGAAAACCTTCGCTCAGGTGTGGTCATATGAACTCAGGTGTAGAAATGACTGACAGTGAAGTATCAGAGGCATTGTCAAGATGCTCAAGAAGGAGCTGTTGTGTTATGAATCTGATTAGGGGACTAATAGCACTAGATCTCTGGATTCTTTTGACTATTTTTTCCCTAGTTTGTTGATTTTTTTTAACTATGTATAATCCTGGAGCCAGGGGGCTGGCAGGGACCTATGGGGTCACATCAGGTCCAGGCCCTGCCTGAGGCAGGATCAGCCCTGTCCAGACTATCCCAGACAAACCCACCATCTAAACTCTCCATAAAACTGCCAGCAATCCTACCAAAGCCAACAACCCATGTCTTTGGGAAGATCTTGGAGAGGATCATCAAGGAGCACCTCTGTGGGGGGCAGCAGGGGAGATCATGCTCAGGGGCAATCAGCACAGGTTCATCAAAGGCAGGTCCTGCCTGACCAACCTGGTTGCCTTTTATAACCAGGTAACTAAATCCTTGGATGATGGTGTCACCGTGGACGTAGTCTTTCTAGACTTTAGGAAGGCATTTGACATGGTTTCTTACCCCATCCTCATCAATAAACTAAGCGACTGTGGCATTGATGCCTGCACAGTTGGATGGGTAAAAAACTGGCTGATGGGGCGCACCCAGAGAGTTGTGGTGGATGGGTTGTACTCAGCCTGGCAAGATGTGAGCAGTGGGGTCCCCCAGGGCTCGGTTCTCTGGCCCCCACTGTTCAACATCCTCATCAGCGACTTGGACGAGGGGGTGGAAAGCAGCTGTCCAAGTTTGCTGATGACACTAAGATGTGGGGCGAGGTGGGCACACTTGAAGGGATAGAGAGGCTGCAACTAGATTTAGACAGACTACAAAAGTGGGCAGATGAGAATAGGGTGGGGTTGAACGTAGACAAATGCAGGGTGCTGCACCTGGGGAGAAGGAGTCCGCAGCACACAGACAGGCTGGGGAGCTCCCGCTTGAAAGCACAGAGGCAGACCAGGATCTTGGAGTCATTGGTGACTCCAGGATGAACATGAGCCACCAATGCCAGACCGCAGCCAGCAAGGCCAGCCGTACCATGTCATGTATCCAAAGGTGCATCTCCAGCCAGTCCAGAGAGGTGATGCTACCCCTCTATGCGGCACTGGTCAGGCCGCAGCTGGAGTACTGCATCCAGTTCTGGGCGCCGCACTTCAGGAGGGATGTGGCCAGCCTGGAGAGGGTCCAGAGGAGGCCACTCACATGGTCGGGGGCAGCAGGGCAGGCCCTACGAGGAGAGACTGAGGGACCTGAACCTGTTCAGCCTCAGCAAGAGGAGGCTGAGGCGGGACCTGGTGGCTGCCTACAAACTCCTCAGGGGAGATATCAGCAATTAGGTAGAGCCCTTTTCTCCCCAGCACCACCTGGGGTGATGAGGAACAATGGTAATAAGCTGATGGAGAACAGGTTTAGGTTAGAGATCAGGAGGCAATATTTTATGGTTAAGGTGGCCAGAATCTAGAACTAACTTCCTAGGGAAGTGGTCCTCGCCCCTACCTTGGGTAAATTCACAAAGATGTTAGATGATTACCTGTCTGGGGTCTTGTGAACCCAGCATTCATTCCTGCCTGTGGCAGGGGGTCAGGCTAGATGATCTGATCAGGTCCCTCCTGACCCTAGCTACTATAAAACCCTACCACAATGAGTGCATGTGCTAACAGTGATATTTGTTTTTGCTTTGATCTTAAAACTGAACTCCACAGTGCCAGCCCCCGGAACATTCACAAAGCTTCTAGTTCCTGTTTAACTGGAGAAAAAAGGGTTGTGATGTATGTGATAAGGCACCACCCCCGTTTTCAAAATCCCTGATCCACCCACAGACAGCTCCCAAGGGCACCTGGGAGCAAGCAGGGCCAAGCCTGGGCTGAGCCATCAAGGAGAGCCCTCGCTACAGCTTGGAGTGGGGCAGACGGAGGAGGAAGAGGTCCTGGCCCCAAGGGCACCTGTGAAGTCTGTCTGAAACGATGCGCCGATCCCACCCAAGGGAGGGAGACTGTAACCGTTCAAGCTCTTCCTTCCAGACAGAAAGATCAAGATGACCTCATGAGAGCAACACCCAGGGCCTCCATGCAGGGTGCCTGGAAGGGAGAGAGTAGTGTCCCAGGGGAGGGACCCCTTCTGGCACCTACCTGAGTGTATTGGGGACAGGCATTCAGCTGCAAGGCCAGCTTGTGCTGCTGGGGGGTGGCATCCATGGGCTGCGTGGAGAAGAGGAAGATCTGGTAGGCTCCAGGGGCTATGTATCCCGAGCGGGGCTTGACTGTGACAGAGGGGCAGGAGTCTGAGTCCATGGTGAAGGTGATAGGTGAGGGTCCAGTGTTCTGGAGCAGCGCACTGCGGTAGGTACTGGTGCCCACATCCACCACAGGGAAGGTCTGAGGGGAAGCCAGCAAGATGGGGTGAGCTTGGGGTGGAAGCCAATGCGAGCAGAGAGCCCCAACCAGAGCCTGGGCTGGGCACCTGCCATACTCATTTCTGGTCCTCGCATCTCCAGAAGGAGAGAGAAGAGCTAGAGAAGGTGCAAAGCAGGACAACAAGGCGGCTATGGAGGTGTTCCCTAGGAGAAAAGACTCATGAGGCCAGGCCTGGGCAATCCAGGAGAGACACTGGAGGGGGACAGGAGCAGGGTTTGCACTGCACTGGAAAGGAGCATGGGGAGCTCTGCAGCAGGGAGCATAGATTCATAGATTCATAGATTAAGGGTCGGAAGGGACCATGGGCGGCCTGCCCGGTGCCTCCCCCTGAGGTCCGAGACAGGCAGCTGTGAGACACAGCAGTGCTGCTCCTGGCAGGTGACCAGTGCCGCTGGCCTACCACAGGCTCAGAGCCAGTGGCGGCTTCTCTGGCTTTGCAAGAGGCTCTTCCTTGAGCAGCCAGAACCCTCAGCAGGGCAGGAAGCAGGCTCAGAAGGACCCTCCAGGACCCCACTCCTGGAGGAGCTGGAGATACTCACTTTACCTTACAAGCTCCCTCAGCCCGCACAACACTGGTGCCCCCTGGGACCCCCACGGAGCAGATGGAGCCTGCAGAGGGTACTGGGGGGAGTGGCGGATCATGCTAGCCTTACTGGCAGCTACCCAGCTTCCACAGCAGGAGGGAACCCCAGCAGCATCCCCTCCTGACAGGACAGACCCCCAGCTGCCAGGATGAAGGGCTAAAACTCCACGTACCGGGAGATCTCAAACTTGCCCCATGCTGGGCTCTCCTGTTGGGGCTCACAGCTAGCCCCAGGGCCCCCAGCTCCCTCACCTGGGAGGCATCCAGGATGTACGCAGGGATGAAGTGCTGCTGCCCCGGCTTGAAGGTGTGGGCCTGTAGCCTGAGCGTCAAGCACCAGGATGGGCAGAGGGTAACATCCTCCTCCACGTTGCTGTAGTGTCTTAGCACCTGGGGGCCAAGGAGAGGTGGCATCAGGTGGGGCAGTATGTTGCAGGCATGTGACACACAAGGAGCTGGGTGGTGGGGACACACTCTACTGAACCCTCATCCTCCAGCCCTGACCTGCTGCCTGGCACAGCACAAAACACTTGTCCTGGGCTTCGGAGAAGAACATGGGAAGCAAAAAACTACCAGTTGGAGGGCTGAGCCTGCCTGTAATGGCAGTTGGCTCCTACGCTGAGCAGGGCAGGAGGCTATGTTCCTCTCAGGCACTAACAATTGCTAAACCCTGAATGACGGGAGGACAGAGAAGAGGTTGTGAAGGACTGGCAGTGATTGTATTTGACCCATGCAGTGCTTTCTGGCTGCTCCCAGAGGCTGTCTGAGGGCACCATCCCCATTAGGACAGTTGTTAAGATGACCAAAGGAAGTCTCCTGTGAAAAGCATCATTTAAATATAGCCCAACCAGGCCAAGCAGTGGTGCGCCAGGCCCCCTGCCCTCCACCTTGCCCCCTGATTTGGAGCTGCGTTGAGCAGAGGGGTTTCAGCTGTGCCAGGCTGTAGTTAAGCTAAGACACCACAAATAACCCAGGGAGTAGCAGGCATCACCGACGACTGGATTGCCTGATAAAAGAAACAGGGAGTTGCAGAGTTTGAACTCAAGTCATTCTCTCTGCATCGCACCCGAGCTCCTGGAGGCTGGCTGCAGGCAATGGCCTCTGAGACCAGACAGACTCAGGCAGCCTGAACACCGAGAGCATCAGCAGGGAGGAGGCTGGCTGGGAACCCTCCCAGCCCGAGTGCTTCTAAAACCAAGTTACGTGGACCCCGGGCTCTGTTGCTTCCAGTGCTGTGCTTAGATCAGACCCTGGCTATCTTCACTGACCTTGTAGATGGCAAAGCCCTCCAGTTCAGCAGCGTACAGGGCATTGGGTTGTGGAGGCTGGAAGGTGACACGGAAGGCAGTAGACTTGAGGGGCGGGATGTCGCATGTGGTTGGGGCCACCTGGAAGGGACGCTTGGGGTACTGTGTCCAGGCCACTGTGACTGTGCCCTTGGTGTGGTTGGTGACGCAGAGCGGGAGGGGCTGGGCGCCACGGGGCGGCAGGCAGCACCCAAAATCAAATTCCTGGATGCTGATGCTGACGTGAGGAGGGAACATGGCCAAGTCGCTGCTCACGCCATCGTGGAGGTACTCGGTCATGGCGTCCACGGGTGTGTAGGTCTCCAGGGGGCTGTCCATGGGGTCCTGCAAGGAGGAGGTGAAGCTCTGGGGCAGAAAGGGGTCTTGGGGCCTGATGTCAGCTTGGCCCAGCCCAGAGACCTCCCAGGAAGCACTTTGGCTCCCAGCGGTGCCTGCATTCCATGTAGGTTCCTTTCTCCTTCCCAAATTCCAACATGCAATTGAAGCCAAAGCAGACCCAAGCACATGGCCACAGGAATCACAGAGAAGTAGGTCTGGAAGGGACCACTGGAAGTCACATTGGGCCCAAGTACTGCCCGAGGCAGGATCAGCACCGTCCAAAACAGCCCAGACAAACCCCAGGCCAGGCCAGGCTGAGCAGGGGAAAATCCCTACCTGCCTCCGCCAGGGAGTGTGGGGCTGAGCTTAAGTGGGGGGCAAGAACCTGCAGCCAGGACCCTGCAGGGCTGAGTCCCAGCAGGAGCACTGTCACAGCCCAGGCACAGCCCCAGCCTGGGCTGTAGCCAGCACCCAGCACTTCTGGGGTAGGCTTGAAAACCCCCTGACAAATGTAGCAGAAAGGGGAGGGCAGGGGGCAACCAGCAAAGCCCAGAGCTGGCACTAATGGGCCCAGACACCCAGTGCCAGTGTGGGCTGCATGCACTGTCTGACACCTGAGGCACATACCTGGGGCGGAAGCCGGAGTGCCTTGCTGTGGTCCACCTGCAGCTTGCCCTCTCGCAGCATGGTAGCCAGGATGTCAGGGGGATAGAAGGTCAGGCCCCTGGCCACGTGGGTCCTGTACCATGCCAGGTGCTGTGGCCCCAGGACGGGCGGCTTGGCCGTGTCCGAGTGGCAGGTTCCAAAGAGATCGAGGAACAGTGGGTCCTGGGGGGATGGGGAATGTCTGCAGGATGCGGCCACTTCTCACTGCCCTCCTGGGCTGCATAGCCCCTTAGGCTTTCCCCACCATTTCTAGCCTCTCTAGATGTGGCCCGGTAGCTCTGGGAGAGGGGCATGGACAGCAGCTAGCATGAGGTTCAGGTGCCTGCTCTTTTCCTTCCCTAGGGTATGGACTCATTAACAGCTCCTGGGGTGTGCAGGGCACAGGCTTCCTGCTGCCAGCCTCTCCCCTGCCTTCCAGTTGCCAGTCCATGCATGCTCTTGCCCCCCAAGTCAGTGGTGCGTCAGACCCTGTGGCTCCCTCAATTCCACTGTAGGCCAAGCTGCCATGGGGCAGCTTCTCCTTGCTGCCTGGGCAGCTACTGGGGCCTGGCTGAAGTGTGGTAAAGCTGGGCCCCTTGTCCATCCCTCACTCCCCCGATCCCACTGGTAGGGCTCTGCAGCCCAGGCTTGTGCTATCCTGGCCCAACCACAGGACAGCCTGACTCGGCAGCAGGAGATGGCTGCAAGCCGAGATGGAAGTGCAGGCATAGGAACAAGAACATAAGAACAGCCATTCACTGGGTCAGACCCAGATCCATCTTGTCCCCTTCTCTTGCATCCAGAGGCTGGAAGGGAGAGTGACCTGGGAACGACCAGGGTTTCTATCCCCAGTTCCTTTCTCCCTGGAAGCCTCCTGCATTGAGGGTCCAGGCAAGTCTGGTGCAGAGGCTGTGCACCTCACTTCCTGCTCCAGAGCTCCCCGTGCCCCTTTCCTCCAAGGACTGCTTTTTCCTGGGAGCTAACAGGTAATGCAAGTGTGGGTAGCCCAGGCAGCACACGGGGTACCCACAAGTCTTGGTCCCCACATGCTGCACATATCAGGCAGCCAAGTGGTGTGGAAGGGGATCAAGCTTGTTAAATGGGTGTCTGGTTTGCCAAACACCAGCTGCAACCAGTTGACATGGAGGAAGCCAGTCTCTGCCCCTCAGCAGTCACCCCCCTATGGAGGATTTCCATCCCAGCTGCCTCCCTTTCACCACTTTTTTTTTCTCTCCTTGGCATTGTCTCCTTACCGGTCTATCAACTCTGCCTAGTGCCTGAGGACAGGTAGGAGGGTGGAGGCTTAAAAACTCTCTATTGTTCTAAGCAGGGACCTCATGGCCTGGGGGCAGGGCCAGTAGCCCCTACCACTCCACCAGGTAGTGATGATGCATTTCAAATTGGTTGGCTAGCCGCCAACAACTGCTGGCCTTCATTGGGCCCCCAAAGGTGATGTCAAAAGACCTATATAAGCTAAGACTGCCCAAGGGTGGGACAGAGCAGCCATGATGAAGACACAATGCAGCTCTCTCACAAGATGCTGAAGTGAGTAAACTGCTGGAACCTATCTAGATATATAGCTTGCTGTAAAGCAGATGTGTGATCAAAGGCTGCTAGCCACCCTGTTTGCTCTACAGTTATCCTGTAATACTTCTTTATTCTGTACTCTTCCCCAAGCCTTGCCTCTGTAACCAATAACGTTCTTCACGGTACCAAGCGTGGTGGACTTGTTGGGAAAGGCATGCCTCTGTGCCCCCTTGGTCCGGCTGGCTAAGGGAGGCTACTTTTTGTGCTTCAGGCTAGAGGAAACACCCCAAGCTTTTGCAGTGGGTCAAGCACCCTCAAGGACTACAAGTCCTGCGTATCCCAGGGGGGACAGGGTTTAGAAACAGTCCAGACCCCTGGGTGGTGGCAATAGTACCCCCAGGCTTGTGCGTGTACTCCAGGAAGGGGGTTGGCTGGACGTCAGGTGCCCCCAGGGAGGCACTCATAGTAGCTTGGCAGGTGGGCAGATGCAGTGAGGTGGGTGGCTCGGTGCAGGAACACCCCCTACTGGCCTACACATGTGGTGGTTGCCGTGGGATCCCACAGCCTGCTGTCTAGAAGGCATAATTTGGGGAAAGGAAGTACAGTCACTGAAAACCCTTGAGCAAACAATCCTTAATTCGGCATCGGGTCAACTGGACAGAGTAGCTAGCTAGGATGGCTGACAAGTATGACCACTTGACTGTGGTCGAATTGAGAGAGGCAGTAAAAGAGAGAGGCCTTTCAGTGAGGAAGGAGCAAAAGAAAGAAGACCTGATTAAGATCCTGTGTAATAATGATCAGGCCTCAACATCTCCTCCATGCTTCCAATCAGCAACCGCCGAAGGATCACCCTCTGAGTGGGACCTCTGGAGGTACCAGCTGCAGCTAGCTCAGGAGGCCCAGTGCAGGCATGTGCTAGAGGTGAAGAGGATGGAGCTAGCGGAGAAGGCAGCACAGCGTGAGTATGAAGCCGAAGAGGCAAGGCTCAAGCACGAGTGTGCGGTTGACCTAATTCAGAAGCAGCAAGACGCCGGCATCCCGACTGATCCGACTCAGCAGGTGCAGGACATACCCTACAGACTGAGCACCCCATTTTTCCCTCATTACAAAGATGGAGATGATCCAGAAGTGTTCCTAGGTATCTTTGAAAAACAAGCGCGCTGGTGGAAGCTGGGAAAGGATGAGTTCATGAGACATCTTGCTGCACACGTAACGGGAGAACTGTCCCTTATCTTGAACAGCCTGCCCATTGAGTCAATGGACGATTATGACGCCTTTAAACAGGCTGTGAATGTAAGGTTTGGGTTAGGACCGGATTATTTCCGGACAAAATTCTCTAATGCCACCCCACAGCCGGAAAAGTCAATGTACGATTTCGGGGCCCGGTTGTGGGACTCACTCCTTAAATGGGCAGACAGAGCCAAAGCTACCACCAGAGAGCAGGTGCTGAACCTCATAGCGCTGGACCAATTCTATTCCCGATGCCCAAGGGAGATTAGACCCCTAGTCAAGGACAGGGAACCCAAAACAATCCTAGAGGCCGCTGAAATTGCGGACCAGCTGTTGCTAAATCGAGAGGGGCAGGACAAAAGGCTTCCCTCCTTTGGGAAGGAACAGAAAGGGTTCCAAAAAAGGGGGAGGAGAGGGCCAGGCCCAAAATGGGAAAGGGGGCCACCTCCTGCAGAGTGCAGGGCAGCCCCAGATTCAGTCAAGCCACCCAATTTGGAGAAGAGGAGTTGCTATAACTGCGGGGAGCCTGGTCACCTCAGGCCTAACTGCCCAAAGCTAAGCAACACCACCAAGCCTGTCACCCATGCAACAGCTGTAAGCAGTGAGGAGGGAGACCCAAGCCACTCTGAAGGGCGTACCTGTTGCTACAGGATTACAAACCCAGAGGAGATGATGGCTGCCCACCGGACTGAGATAATGGTAAGAGAGAGAACCCTCATCGGGGAAATGAACACAGGGGCCAATGTGTCATTAATTAAAGCCAACCTTGTTTCACCCTCAGATATAGTCCCGGGGAGGACCCTAACCTTACAAGGGATGGGACCTCAGTCATTCAAGGTACCAGTAGCCCGTCTCCCCATCCAGTGGAGAGACCGCGCAATATGCATAGAACTAGGAGTGCTGGAAGAGGCTCCTGCCCCCATACTGGTGGGGCGTGATATTATGGAGCTCGAATACCTGCAGAGGGAGGTGGACCACTTCCTAGAGCCCTACCATGGTAACATGGTGACTCTTCAACAAAGCAGGCAGGCTAAGGCAGGAAGAGTGGAAGCCTCCCAGTGCCTGGTCACCCAATTGGCTACAGAGGCAGAGGAGAAGGGAGAGACTCCCTCTGGCTGCAACCATTTGCCAGTCCCTGGGGGAACTGGCAACCTCAAGGTTGGGTTAAGTGACAGCCCCAGGGTGGGGCCTGGTCCGTCAGTGGCAGAGAAAACAGAGACTCTAGGGGAGAAGTTGGAGGATATCCGCATGGATGAAGGTGCGCTCCTTATAGGGGTACCCAAACTCCCTGCTGATGGCTTAGCCGGGCAGGAGGAGTTCAAGCAGGAGGTTCTAGTAGACCCCAGCTTGGAGGAACTCCGACGGATGGCCCAGGAGCAAGAGACAGAGTTCATCCCTGGTAAGAGGGAACAGGTGATCTGGGATAAGGGACTCCTCTATAGGTTGTGGGTGCCTAGGAGCCATGCCGAGTCCTGGGAGCCCTGTCGCCAGCTTGTGGTACCTCTTAAGTTCAGGCAGCAATTGCTTTCTATGGCTCATGATTTACCTTGTGCTGGCCACAGGGGCCGAGATCGGACTCGCCAGCAGCTGCAGGCAAACTTTTATTGGCCCAGGCTAGCCCAGAATGTGAAAGACTACTGCAGCTTGTGTGAGACATGCCAGCGGACGGGCAAAAGTGGGGACAAGAGAAAGGCTCCCCTACAGCCCCTCCCTATCATTGATCAACCCTTCCAAAGAGTGGGGATAGACATTGTGGGCCCTCTGAGGCATAAGACTCGTAGAGGGAAGAAATACATCCTGACTCTAGTGGATTTTGCCACACGGTACCCGGAGGCAGTTGCCTTGACCTGCACAGAGGCACCCGTAGTTGCTGAAGCCCTGACCAAAATCTTCTTTCAGCTGGGTTTCCCCTCTGAGATCCTGACTGACCGGGGTGGAAACTTCCTGGCAGAAGTGATGAAGTGCCTGTGGGAGTGCTGTGGGGTGAAACACCTCAAGACCACAGCCTACCACCCACAGACAAATGGGCTGGTAGAAAGGTTCAATGGGACCTTGAAAGGGATGCTAAAGGCCTATGTGCACTCTAATCCCAATGACTGGGATGAGAAACTGCCGCATTTGCTCTTTGCCTACCGGGAGGTGCCCCAGGAGTCCACTGGGTTCTCGCCCTTTGAGTTGATGTTTGGGAGGCGAGTTAGGGGTCCTCTTGATTTGGTGCGAGAGGAGTGGGAAGGGAAAATCTCCTCCTCTAAAACATCTGTGGTAGAGTATGTACTAAGCTTTCGTCAAAAGCTAACTGACATGATGAAGGTGGCACGAGACTCCCTGGCCCAGGCCCAGGAGAAGCAGAGTGTCTGGTATGATAAAAGGGCTTGCTTACGTACTTTTGAACAAGGGGATACAGTCATGGTTTTCTTGCCATTAAA